CTCCTCCCGCTCTCCTCCTCCACTTACTCCTCCTCCAGAAGGGTGACGCTTTTCCTGTTTGGGAGTTTTGGGAAACATTTTTGCTCTGTGCCGTAATGGAATTAGAGGACAGATGAGGACTGTAAATGGACACGCGACTGCAAGATTGTCGCTTAAATATTTAGATGCAACGTTACAATTACCGACTTGTTGCAGCGGCTTTGAAGTGGCGCTCGGGGGTTCAGGGGGAGAGAGGCCAGATCGCCGAATCGATGTTTTGATTGGAGCTGCAGATACACTGCACGGGACTCTCCCCCCTTTTAAAATCGCAGTGAGCGTGGGAGGTTTGCAACAATTTCAAAGGTTGAGCTAAGAGACCCCAAGCATAGGTCGGTTGGGGCTTATACTCCTTTCACATCTCTCCCTTCCTTTTTGACATTTTTGAAAAAACGGTGCTGCTTTTTTTTATTTATTTGAGAAAGTCAAAGTGACAAAAGTTTTGCTCGAGTCCTAGCGCGTCCAGTTTGCCCACTTGAGCGCTTCTAAAATTAACGAGATAGACGTCAGCCTTCCAGTGAGGCATAAGCTAAAGCAGTTAAACACGCAAAGTTTTAAAGGTCCTCGAAGCGTTTCGTTTCCAGCGGAATCATGAAAAGACCACTTTATGTTTGACGGCAGCGCCACTAAAATCAAGGGAAAGCGGTTCTTCTCCGCGCCACCCCCCTAACCAACCCCCTCCCCCAGTAAGCAGGGAAAGGCAATTTGGCGCGAGGCTAGGGGATGGTGGACGAACTTTCCCACAGATTAAAATCAGTAGGTGTAAGATCTTAGGTTTGTGGCATCGGAGCCATTCTTGAAGTGGACAGCCCCCTCTCCAAGTCCATTTGTCAGAATCACGAATTTGACCCCAGCGTCGTCGAAGTCTTTAGAGAAAATGTCCTATTTTCCGAAGTCCTTGCAACACTCAACACTGCATGTTAAAAAATGCATTAAAAATGTCAGAACTCGAATTAAATTAGAACACCACGCTGGTTCCTCCCCGCCCCCCCATCCCCCCAAGAACCTATAGCGGTAGCGGTTTTCCCGTTGGAAAGATGGAAAAGGAAGCAGCCGAGTTCGGATGTCGGTTTTTCTTATTCGCTGGTTTGTTTTGTCGGGTTGACTGCTGTATGTTTACTTTCTAGCCTTATTGAAAACATGCAGATTTTCTCATTAATGCTTGGAAATCGTATGTTTATTTGGTGGCTTGATTGGATTGTTGATAGCACTGGAGCGGGGACGTGGGGCCTGCAAGTGCGTAATCATCACTGGAGGGTTATTTAAGAGTCCCCAGGGCTGCGCCATAAAACCGCCGGGGCGGCGAGGCGGAACCAGCAAGTGCGCTGGTTGAGGAGTGCGCTGTGC